CCCCCCAACACCATAGGGTGCATTTTGTTTTTTCTCCTTTTTTCCTACTTTCATTTGACCCAAATGCACACTACTGGGCCTATTGTTTTTTAAATCAAGATCACCTCTGAAAGAACATTCCAGCATCCCAAAGCCTGGTAACATACCCCAAAAATAATGTAATTAAAAATATTATAGAGAGAACTAAGCTAGACTCAAGGGTCTTCAAACAGCACATCAACTATTAACAGTATCCAGCCACAACTGTAATATTTTAACACACAGCCATAAAAAAGCTTGAGCTCCCAGCCCCACAACGCTTTGCAAAATGTGTCCGTTAGCCTGCCTTAGTGTATTGCCATTATGTTATTTTGGTGTATGTTAAAGTATCCCTTGGGTAAAAATTGGCCTTTTTTTTTTTTTTTTTTTTTTTTAGCATAGTCCTGCCTATAAGATAAAACTGACAATATAGTCTACCCACGAGACATTAGTGCTTTTATAGTGAAAACTAACTGCTATGTACTTCCAATTTATATGTTTATTATCTAGAGCCACTCACCATGAAGAGCTTTAAATCTATAAAGTGAATGACAATCCCAGTAATAAGAGCCTTAAAGGCCCATTGTTCATATAAAGCAGATATATATTTAATTTTTCTTAGCCATTATTATAAATAAACTAAAAATTACATTTCTTATTCAAAATATGAAGAAGTCTATACACTTTTTTTCTGTACTTTTTGGAAAGGGTCTACAGGGTGTTCAGGGTCTCACTACTAGATCAGATTCATAGTGATCTGCCTTTTTACAGCCTCCCAAGAGCTGGGATTATAGGTGAGTGCCTCCATGCTTAGTCTCAATTGCCATCTCAGCATGCCTTGGGGGCAGGGACGGCACAGCAGGCCCAGGGATCAAATCCCCCACCCCTGCGCCTGCTTGCAGGTGCTTTAATCCACTGAGCTACTTGGCTGGCCCTTTATATACTTTTAATTTCTACCTGCTGCATTTGAAGAAATACCTCTTGGAAGAGAGTGGTCAATATTAAAAACAACACACCATTATTTTTACCTTTCTGTTTAACATGTTTATAAGATTTCTATCTTCCAGGCTTCTCCAACACCTAGTCAAGCTAATGATCACCTATATTATTGTTAAAACAAAATACTGTGAATATATTCCAAATAACTCAGATAAGTTTTTTTCAGTTTTCAGTGATTTATAACAAAATCCAGTAGTTTTCAATGATTCATGTCCAATTACAACTTGAACTTGCTGCACAAACTTATTTAGGGTTTGCCAAATTTAGATTTTAGTCATCAGCCCCAAAATCTAAGTAACACAACACTAAAAATCAACAATTTCAAATGGTCTCTGGTGACATTTCTAACAGTTAAGAATATGACCATGCCATCTCTTGTGTAATGGTTGATACACTGGGTCAACTTGAGAAGTTCAGAAGTTTAATTCAGCAACTGAGCAGGGAGCCAGGGTCCTTACTTTATAAATAACCCTTATCCTGTACAAGAAGAGGGCATGAAGATTGTGTGAGTGCTACGCCCACCACCCTGAGCCTACTTACAATATAATGAAGGGAAAAAGCTTATTTTCCCCCTTTTTTGCTCTTGCTGCTTTGCTATCTCCTGCCTCCTTAAATTGTTGTTCCTGTGTCATACCACCCTGCCTTGGAGCCAGCTGATTAGAGACTAAAATCTCCACAAACTATGAACTAAATAAACTTTTTCTCCATTAATTTTTGGTGTCAGATATTTGTCTCAACAATAACAAAAAAAAAAAAAAAATAGCCAAGACAGAATTTGGTACCAGGAGTGGGGTTATTGCTGTGACTGTACCTGACCATGTGGTTCAAGAGCCTTTGGAAATGGCTTGTGGAAAGTGTTTGGAAAGGTTCAGAGATGTTTCCTAAAAGAGTAGAGCTAAAAAACCTCAGGTTGATCTGTATAGGAGATTCTGTTAGAAGCTCAGAAAACCAAAAGGCTGATAGAAAGCCTACAGTTAAATCCAAGTTCAGAAAGGTTCTACTGGGAAAAGGACTGCATTGGTTGTTGAACTCCAGAGGATGTGTGTACTGGCTTTGCAGGAAGGAGGTTTGTATACATTTTACTCGTGTCCAGAGACTTTGCCTGAGTCTGAGATTAAAGGCAGTGGACTAATTAATCTGGCTGAAAAAAAATTTAAGGCAGTCAAATTTTGAGGCTGTGGCAATGGATTTGTTTTTAAAGTCATATTTATGTTAAAAATAAAGGGCAAAGAGCGCAGAAGAATGATTTAAAATGTGAGTTTGGACAGATAAAAAGCTCCAGTAAAGTGATAGACTGCAAACATAGAGCTGAGGAGACCGCAATTGCTGAGAAGACACAAAAATTTTAAAAGATGGCTTGAGGTCATCACAAAAAGTAGCAAGTATCCACCCTTTGCAGTTTCAAAACTGCAAAAGCAAAAGACTTGCTCTGAGAGAAAACCACAGAGCAACAGGCTCCAGAATTGTGGCGGCTGCAACAGGCTGCAGACTGATAGTAGCGTACAAGGTTTGTTCCTCAAAATTGGACTCAGAGTGCCCAGTGATCCAGGCACTTGACCCCTCCAGCCAAGAGAGAGAAAGCCTGGCTACTGCTCCAGGGAGCAGCAGAGGGTAGCATCATCCACGTGATGGCAGCTTTAGGTGCATGCCAGATGCAGGACTTACGAAGTTCGAAAGGCTTTCACCTTGATTTCAGCAGGCCTGGGAGGCCAAGCGGTGCTCTCCTGAAAGGAGAGTGTGTAAAGCTATAAATAAAAAGCCAAAGGTGCAATAGAGACCTCTAAAGTTTTAAAAAGTCAAGAAAGTAGATCATCTTTAAAAAGTTGCAAGGAGGGAGGAAAACAGGCCTAAGAGAGAAACATTGGGAGCCGTAACCACAAAAGTGCCATGGGAGTAGAGTCATGCAAGCTCACAACTTGCCGTAGATTGCTTCAGAAGCTCACATAAAACTACAGGACTTAATTTCTACCCCTCTGGACCTTAGACTTCCTTTGGTCCCAATCCTTTATATCCCCCTGTTTATAACTTTTAAAATAAAAATATTTACTTTGTGCCATTAAATATTAAAAGTGTTTAACTTTGCTTTAATGTGTGCAGTGGATTGCAGCTACAAGGTGGCATACATCTCAGAAGAGGTTTGGGATTTAGATTTTTCAGCAATGCTAAAACTGTCAAGATTTTGGAAACTGTTGCAGATAGACTGGATGGGACACGTATGAGTCTTTGAGGGTCCAGGGACAAAGTGAGTTCTAATGTAATTATAATGTTGACAGACTTAATACTGGTTCTTAAAGATTGTTAAAATATTCAACTTATAAATTTTTTTTTAAAAAGCGTGTCCTTATACCTAAAAGCCAGCTTTATGTCAACCTGAGAAGTTTAAAAATGTAATTAAACAACTCAGCAAGGAGCCAGTGTCTTTACTTTAGAAACATCCTCATCTTATACAAGAAGAGGGTATAAATACTATACCTGCCCCTTGTGTGTGTGTGCTGGGGGGGATAGTCTGCTTACTCTATTTAAAAAAAGCCTTTTTTTTTTTTTTTTTTTTTTTTCTCACTCTTACTGCGTTTGCTGTCTTCTGCTACCTTAAACTTTTGCTCTGGTGGCATGTCACCTTGCTTTGGAATCAGCTGATGTTGGACTGAAGCCTTCACAAACTGTGAGCCAAATAAACCTTTCCTGCCTTAATTGTGGATGTCAGGTATTTTATCTCAACAACAACAAAAAAATAATCAAGGCACCTTGTAAATGACTTTGCTGGTTTGTAAGGAGTAAAGCGTAGTGCCTGCCTATTGGCAATTAAAGGGTTAACACTCCTAGATGCTGAATTTCAGATAAAGCCATCTGACCACAGAGAACTTTGACTCCAGTTTTAAGTGCACCCCTCTGGACTCATCAGTCTTCTAGCTTTGATTTTGCTCCCACACCTCCTTGATCATCTACTGGAGAGGAGCAAAACAGAAAGTAAAAAGCCTGGCCAGTTCTCAGAAAGCTCTGACTTCCTGGAAGCTAGCATACCCACTCCCCTGTGTCTTCGGCAGTCAGCTGAACCAATCCTCAGAGCCCATTTCAGCGCCTATTGCCAGGGCCCCTTGGTCTTTCCCCTGGACAGGGGCCCAGACCACCCAGCTGCTCCAGCCACAGTCCTGAGCAGCCTTCACAGTCCCTGGCCGGACACCACAGCCTCCCAGAGGTAAGGACAGAGGTGAGGGTCAGTCTGCTCTTCCTCGGGGCCAGGAGAGGGAGAGGCAGCAGGTAGGGGAGGGAGGGCCACTGCTGGGCCCCAGAAGGACCAGGTGCCCGAGGGTCACTGCAGGTACCTGGTTCAGAAGAAGGAATTGTCTTCAGGGAATGGAGGGCTCAATTCCCAGGCACGAGGGCAGCCTGTGAGCTCAGGAAGGGTCTCAGTCCTGCTCCTTATGCAGGAGGCCTGGCAGGGACAGCACCCTTTCCCAGGGCTCTCTTGGAAGAAGTTTCTGTGCTTACAGACCAATCAGACTACTGTCCTTTCCAGAAAGCTTGTTCTGCTCTCTTAGAAATTGGGAGGATACAGAGACTATGTGACAGTTTTCCTGGCTATCTCCTAGAAACAGGGAAACTTTTAGCAGTTGGTTGAATTTATAGACACTGCAGAACAGGCAAGTCGTAGAGAGGCTTTGAATACCCTTGACTGTGTTCTGCCTAAGCTAATCTGAAGATCTGTTTTTCCCTGCTGGGAAGTCTGACAGCCTCCTTCTCAAGCAGGACTCCTGGCCAGTCTGAACATGGAAAGCAGAAGAGACACCCCTCTGAACAATGGCATGACAGAGCCAGCTCTGGTCCGCCAAGATGATCTGAGCTTCCGTCCATCCCGTTCACAGCCAGGTAAAGCAGAATATAGTGATGGCTTTGCATTGGTAGGAGGAAAGGTGGAAAGTAAATTGGCCCAGTGGTAAGAAAAAATACAAGGATTAGGTCGAGTGGCGCAATGGTAGAGCAGTAGCCTGCCACACAGGAGGCCCATCACACACACACACACACACACACACACACACACACACACACACACACACACACGGGACCCACAGAAATATGCCAGCCAAGATATGATTCCTGGCTGTTCCTGGCCACACACACCTTCAAATCTTGCTGCTTTTTCCTCTTTCTGAGTCATACCTAGTGGATGCCCGGGGCTTAGGCTTTGTTCTGCTTTTTGATATTAATATTCCTCTTCACTGAGGGCCCTCAACCAGCCCGTGATTCTACCTGCTTCCCACACTGGCAGCTCCAGGGTTTGATCCTCAACACCATGGGACTCACCTACCCACTGCCTATGCATATCACCTGACTCTCACTGTGACAGTTTTTGGGACCCAGTACTTGAAGATGTCTCTGAATCTTCTACGTGTCCCTTAATGTCCTATCTGTCCGGTGATCTCCCAGGACAGCGGCTGCCTCCCTTGCTCCAGTGACTGCCTTATTCCTAAAGATGTGTCTCCCTAGTTCCTCATTTGCAATTCTGAGGTAGTAAGAGCTACACGTGCTGGTCTCTGTCCACGGCTCCTGACATGCAGCTTCTGACATCCTTGCAGACAGAGGCACCATGAGCTTATTTTATTCTAATATTTTGGGCTTTGAATGTCTGTGATAGGAGCATTGGAGCATCTCTTCTTCTCTTGGAACTCCCAGAAATAAAATAACTCAGCTGAGACACTATCTGTGTGGTCCACAAGACTGTCCCTCATTGGGTGAGGTGCTGCATGCTGTAATCCCAGCACTCGGGAGGCTGAGGCAGGAGGATCATTGCAAGTTCCAGACCAGTCTGGGCTACAAAGTGAGCTCAAGGTCAGTCTGAGCTGCATAAGGAGACACTGTAGCAAAAAGAGAGGAAAACAATAAGACTGTCCCCCACACACACCAGGGTCACGTGCTCACCTCGTGGACATGTGGCAGACTGACGTTGAACTGATGGTCCCACAATGTCCTCCTCGGCTCCTATAGCTGCAAGTGTGGCTCTCACAACTCCAGGAGACACTTGATGCCCTCTAGAGCTGCAGTACAGATTTCTGGGGGTGCCCGTGGCCAGGTCCCTTCACCTCTCCTGCTCTGAGACGCTCCTGTCCTGGTCCTTTTGGGCTTTCCTGGAGGGATCACTACATAGGCCTGAGTGAGGGGGCATCAGCCCCCAGTGATTAAGCCAGTCTTCAGCCCCTCTCCAGTGCCTGGAAGCAAGAGGCAGCCATGAAATTCCAACCTTCTAGTCTGGGTTGGTGTCTTAGACCTCAAGCCCCTGTTTTTACCATTCTTAGGGACTTTGCAAAAGTCACTTCCTAGCCAGGAATGGGGTGTTGTCCAAAGGGGCTTGTTAGAAATAGTAGGACATTCCTTCCCTGCCAGCACCCGGACCAATTAGGAAATTTCAAGTACTTTGGGAATATTTGCTCTGAAGAGGTAAGAGGATCAAAATATATTTTTTTCCCTCTCAAAACACAAAGTAAGGGCTGGTGAAATAGTTCAGTGGTTTAAAGCGCCTGCTTAGGCAAGCTTAGGCCAGCCCAGGGACCCCAGTTCAATCCCCCGTACCACATGCTGTGCCAGCCCCACCCCAGGGCAGACTGAGCCACATACATACATACACACACACACACACACACACACACACACACGATCAAATAAACATAAAATTTAATTTTAAGAAGTTATTGGTCTTTGTTTTTTAAATCTAGAATTGAAAAAATACTTTTTCATAAATTTTAATGACACTTCAGCCTATAAATTAAAGTGATATTCCATTGAGCTGAGCACAGGAGATGTTTGTATTTACAGAGAAGCTCTGAAGAAAGCAGAAAGGAAGCACAGAAAACAATGGGAAAGGAAGCACAGAAAACAATGGGAAAGGAAGCACAGAAAACAATGGGGTCACTTCCCAGTCACTTTCCTGAAGGTTGGGGGTAGCTTGGGTCCAGCTGGAAACTTTAGTATGAGACACTCCACGTTGCCTTTGAGTGTGGCCAGCTGGAGCCTAGTGCAGGAGATTAGTGCAAAGGTATGGCCTCCCGCAGGTTTTACATTACACATTACAAAGTCAGAAATAATGTGTCCCAGTGAAAAATGATTTGCACATCCATGGGTAGGTGAATTTGTAAACCACCTGGGATATATTTATTAAATGCCACACAGCAAAAGTTTTAAAGCCCTTTACAGTCACAAGAACATAGATGAATTTTATAGGCATTATCTTGTCTGTAAGGTAAAAACATCAAGCAAGTCACTTCATTTATACAAAGCTTTAGATTAAGCAAAGGTTATAGAAATCAGAGCTGTTACTACCTGTGGGGCCAGGTGAGCACTGCTGGGATAGAGGAGGGACCTCCTAACCTGGGTGGCCATTATTGCCTCTACAGTTGTCCCCCCTTGTCTCCACTTTTGCTTTTCTGTTTTCAGTTGCCCATGGTGGGCTTTGCCCCCCCCCTAAAATATTATATGGAAATCTCCAGAAATAGTTGTGCATGGTTCTGAGTAGTCTGAGAAAACTTGCCCTGTCCTGCTCTGTCCCACTGAGGACATGAGTCCACCCACTATCTGGTGTTTCCACTGCTACCTGCTACCTGCCCATTAGGCACACAGCGTAACAGAGTATACACAGGGTTTGGTGCAACCCGGCCTCTTAGCTTCTCATGACCCTAAAGGGGAGACTACTGTGTCTGCCTCCCCTCATTCATTCTCACTCAGAATATCTTTGATGCCAAAGTGGCATATTTGGGGTGACCAAAATATAAATATCAAAAAATTTGAGCTCTCTGATTCATGGTGTACACTACTGTATATGTTATGTATCTCAACATGAAATTTTAAAAACAGTATTGGAAAATAATTAGTGCATTATATATATATATATCATTATGATTTCTACATAAGTGAAAATCCCCTTTTGTCTTGGACTTAACAAGATTTTATGACATGGACATTAACTGTTTCTTAGGTTTTCAACTAGAAGATCATGTGATACCTGAGGACATGGATTTGAAGTTTGAGACACAGCCAGACAACCAAGATGGGTAAGAATGTGAGGACAGTATCGGTTTGTAGAGGTAAACCAGGAGGTCTGTCCTTGGGAAAGGGCCAGAGACATCTCATGATTCGGAATAAATATGCTCTGTTGGCGTTAGCCATGGAGCAATCCTTGACTTCTCATTGGTCTCCATTATACATGAAGATAGATTCTTCCAGGAAAAATGTCCCGTGAGACCTAATTCAGTGTTTTGGAGCATAAATCAACAATTAGTGAGGTGGGCCTCCAATGACATAAATTGTCCACTCTGTTGCCAGCTGCTGTGCGACCTAGGAAGTCACAGGAATTCCTTTTGATTCACTAAAGAAATTATTTAGTTGTCACGAATTCAACTTAAGAACAGTAGTTTATGAGTCAGCAGACAAATCATCACCCACATGCCATGCGAAGGCAAGAACAAGGGGCTGCTAAGGCGGTGAGGTAGTGGGCTAAATGTGCAGCAGATCATAGAATTAGTTTGAGGTCTGATCTTAAGCAGGGAGACGTAGCTGCCCCTAAAGAGATCCTGAGGCACAGATGTCTACATCTGGCATATTTTGGTTTTATTAAGAAACCGATGAAGCCAAGCTTCTATTTGCTGTGAACCACCTCAAAATAAGTGTTAAAGCGAACGCATCTCTTCATCGCTGATGCTTGAAGCCACTCTGCTCCTTGCTCTTTCTCTCTGTCCTTACACACCTGGACGGAGCAGTCAGATTAGGCTGGGCCAGTCTGTGACATCTCAGGGCTCCTCCCAGGGCCACCTTCCTTACCTTCATACATTGGTTCCCCTCTACAACCTCAGGGACCTTCTGCCTTGTGAACTGATTGTTATCCACTCGAGAAGTGGTGATTACATCCGTATTTGTTATTTCGTGAAACTAGAATGATTTCGTGGTGGTGTGTTTGATTTTTGGCTTTTTCCTTGAGGAAGTGTGTGTGTCTGCATATACATTTGTGTGTGCACCTGTGCAC